AAGACACTCATCTCCATAGCGTCTTTTTATTTTTTTAGTAGGTCGTTTGTTGTATGAACGAGCATCACCCTTTGTGGCCATTAACTGTTCTTTCACTATTTTTCTTATGATTTTATTTCCAGTAAAACAATCTAAGTTAGATATTGATAGTTGATTTATTTTTTCATTGTTTAAGTCTTTTCCTACTTATTTTATAGTTATTTGTGAATTGTATTTATTTGTTGATTCAATAAAAAAAATTTCACAAGTATCGTTCTGATCATTGACATTGGTGTCTAAAGCGATGTTTTGAGGGACGTTATTATTACAATTATTTGTTTTCTGAGAAAAAGGATGTTCATAGATTTCAGAAGGATTTAACTTGTCAGATGCTATAGCAGAAAGATCAAAGGCTCAGCCTTGGCTCGTTATACCAATTGGCCAGAATTTCACGCCATGTTTAACTTGGCGAAAGACTCCTACATCAAGTGGCTGAAGCAAATGCGAACAGTGTGCTGGCAAACACAAAATAGTTATATGATTTTCAACTGCTTTTTTAACAGTTTCTAAAGAAATATGACTCATGTGACCATCAAAGATAAAACAGGCTTGGGTGTGTCTTTCAACCATCTAGTAATACTTTAACTTATGGTTAAAGTAAACCATAAGTAAAACTTTTGTTTCCATCCAACCATTTTTTGTCACCCCATATAAGGAACCCTTTGGTCCATCAGTCATCCACTTATTATACAAATTCTTTCCAGCAAATAAAATAAATGGAGGAAAATTTCTTCTTTCAGCTGATATTGTTGCTAGTACAGTAAACTGTTCATTTCCTGATCCAGGATCAATAGTTACAGAGTTTTTAATACCTTTTTTACAAATAATTTTTTTATTTATTGTGTTAGTGCAAAACCCACTTTCATCGCAGTTTAGTATTTGGGCAGATCTATTCATAATGTCACATTTTTCCAATGTAGCTTTAAATAATGAAAACCAAGAATCAATTACAGTTTTGTTACAAGCTAAGGCTCTTATAATTGTCAAAAGCTCTGGAGTTCTTATAGATATTTCTTTCTGCCAACGATTTAAAAAATTACAAAACCACTGATCACCAGCAACACCGTTCACAAATTTTTTCTGAAATCTGTTTATTTCAATACGTTTGAACAAGTTTCATAAGTTGTTTTTTATTTAATCCAAATCCAAAATCAGAAAATGCAGATAAAAGTGAAAAAAGATCTTTTTCAGCATCAGCAGATAATTGGTTTGGTCGCCCTTCACCAACTTTTGATCATTTTATGCCTAGAAGATGTCTTGCAATTGTACTTCTTGGAACACCATATTCTTTTGATGCAGCATATGAAGACATTTCTTTATTTTTAACTTTCGAAATAACATTTTGAAACAAATTAGTTGCATACGTTTTTCTTCGAAATTCTTTTTTCTTAATGTAGTTTCTTGGCATTATTTCAATATATTATATTTCTGAAATTTTAAGAATATTTAAAAAAAAAAATACTTATTTTAAGAGTAAACAATTTAGTCGAGTAATTACGATGTATATATTCAGTATAGTTCACTTTACCCCCAATAGGCAGAAAAACAAGGGGTAAAGTGAACTAAATTGATTTACAAACTAAAAGCTTAGCTTTTTTATATTATGATAAAAACTACAATTTTTTTTAAGCAGCATTATATTATCTTTAAAATGTATATAAATTATATAACTGATACTCGCATTAATCACAACAAATCATGAATTTACTAAAACCTATCGCAAAGTTTGAGATCGTAATTTTAAAACCTCCGTCAAACTCGCTTTTTAAAATGGCTATTACATCAAAACAAAGGCTATATTTTATTAATTTTTTTATTTAAAAATGTTGTATTAAGCAAAAATAATGCTAAATTACTTAACAAAAAGTTTTTTAAACATGATAACTTTTTAGTTTAAAAAAAAAAAGTTCACTTTTACCCCTAGTTCACTTTACCCCAGTTTACTCTATAGCTTTGCGTATATTGGCATTCTATTTTTTTAGCGATTCCGTATAATGAGGTGACTTTGGCCAATTTTAAAATCATTTTTCTTGCAAAATCTAATTTTGAATGATTAACCTGTTGATATAAGTTTTATTAAATGTGCATGATGCCAAAGAAATAAAATATAAAATGAAAATGAAAAAAAGTATATTCTTATCCCATTTATTTTAATTTTTAAGGTGGGTCAAAGTCACCCCTATAGTGGTGGTGACTTTGGCTAAGATAATATCTCATAATTATTCATTAAGAAACTCATAACTATTGATTAATAAATCATATTTTACATATCACTGATATATGAATAATTAAATATATGTCTTTGAGATAAAAAAATGGTTAAAAAAATCTCGAACTTGAAACATAATAGCACATTCATTTAACTCTATACTTTATAGTATACATGTAGTCATATATACTAAGTTTCCGTGTTTATCAACAAATTATTTATATTTGTTAGTTGTTTAAGAGCAGATAGCTTTGATTTTTTTGCAGCAGGTATTTTTCTCTTGTTTGTGTTAGCTGCTTGCATGTTAGCAACATCGATTGCTGATACACTTTTTCCTGGTATAACTGATTTTGTCGCTTTTTACGTTGGTGTATATGATCATCACCTCTTGCTTCCACTAAATGCTGAATGAAAGACTCACTGACAAGAGAACCTATTTCCTCGTTGACATTTTCATTTGTAAATGTTCTTTTAGGAAGTCTATCTAACACCTGTTTTCGATCAAGCGAGTATAGTCCAGTTTTTCTAAAACCTGCCTTCATACTTTCACAACCAGGATCTTCAATATTGTTCATGAGACATTTCAGAAATGATGGAAACTGGTCCTTTAGAAGAGAAGGAGCTTTACGTCCTTTTCCACTTTCTTTCCAAGTTGTTAATATGGAATTTGGAGGAAGTGCAACAAATTTGATGTTATTGTCTTCGCACAAAGATAGAACACGTGGATTTATATGTGAAGACAAGTTGTCTCCTATTAGAATATGTGTTCCTGGAGTTTTTTTTAATTCAGGCAATAATAGAGATTCAAACCAATCAGCAAAACAGATGCAGTCGAACCATCCACTCTTCGAGCGATTGTAACGTGCTCTTTTTGGTCTATTTTCTGTCCATGTTGTCCACATCGAATCTGCTTTGTAAACAATGTATGGAGAGATGATTTTTCCTTCTGCATTACCACAATACATCAACGATGTAGCAGACTTTGTTGAATTAATTACTCTCTCAGGATATTTTGATCCCCGTTTTGTTATTACCAGCTTATTACCAGGGTCATCAGTTAAATTAGTTTCATCGTAATTCCAAATATTTGATGGAGGAACCCCTGTCAGTTCAGAAGTGATATTATCAAAAAAGTTATTAATAACAATAGAACCTACTTCTGCCCTCTTCCTTTTAATATTACTCACAAATCGAACACTTAATTGTTTATTTCTTTTTAGAAATAATTTTACCCATTCATTACCAGGCATATTTCCTGAAAACTGTTGAATCATCATTCCTTTTTGGTCTGCATAACACTTGACAATACCACGTAAATCATAACAATCAACTGGGAATCCAAAAGAAGACATATTTATAACATAGTTTGCAAAAATTTCTTCTTCAATTTTAGTAAATATCGTGCAACCTCCTGGTGATTTATTATGTAATCCTTTAAGTTTATTCTTTATTGTTGAAAGAGGAATTTAAAGGTTAAAGCAGCATTTGTTTGTGTCAATGTCCCAGCTCTTATTTCATTTAAACATTTAGTTAATGTTTCCTGAGATATGCAATATAACAACGACTCCCAGCAACACGTTTATATGTTCTTGGCATAATATATTTATGATTTTTATTATCCTAAAAATAAAAAACTGAAAATTAAATATATAATATTATATAAATATAACTTATTTCTTGAAACATTAATCAAAAATTTAACATTGAAATCAAATAACTACATTTTTAGCTCTAGCCAAAGTCACCCCTAAGTTGTGGCCAAAGCCACCCCATAATTTTTAACTAAAGTTATTTTGAATAAAGAATGTTGTAAATCTTACAACTATTATGCCATACCCATCCTATATAAATTTGCTATAGGTTACAATATCACAATTTATTTAAATATTAACCGCAGTTGCAACCAACTAACAATTTTGCAGCATACAAAATTTACGACTTTTCTTACGACTATTCTAAATAAACAGAATAACTTTATTTTTATGATAAAATTGAATTTGGAAGTACACGCATAAAAACAAAGTAGTTTGTACAAGTTAAAACTATTTTTTTTAATTTAGCCAAAGTCACCTACCAGGCCAAAGTCACCTCATTTTACGGTAATGTAGAATGTGAGGCCATCTATTTTATGTCGCTCATAAGAATTTTCCTTATTGTAAATTTCATTATCAAACTTAATTATATGGTGTTCTTATTCTTTACACCAAACTTTTTTCAAAATAAAAACAAAAAAATGGAATAAATTTTTTGATCTTCAAAATTAAAAGCTAAACTTTACAAAAGTTTCAAAAATATCGCACAATTATAAAAGTTGTGTTTGTCTTTAAAAAATATAAACCTCGGCAAACTCAGTGAACATTGTTAAACTCTTAATAACACGTATTTGCATTAAAAAATTAGAATTAAAATAGTTTTTATATTAATTGAATTCATTGTTTTTTCTAAAAATCCAAATATTAAAACGGCAAAGTAAGTGGATACAAATCACAAATTTTGTGGATCAAAAATCCTTTTTTAAATCAGCTTTTTACGTAAAAAAAAATACTTAATGAAGAGTTGTTTTTTTCCTGCCTTAAAAGTTTTTTAATTTATGAAGTAAATTTAATAAAAGTTGTTGTTATAAATGTTATGTTATTTTTTTATTTTAATTTCATGTAAGTTCAGATGTATCATGGCAATATTTTATTTTGATAAAATATTTAATATCATTTGTATAAAAAGTTATAACACTTTATTAAAACAATAATGTTAGACAAGTAAATGATGATCTGACACGCCGTAATCAAGATCTTGAGCGCATGTACAACGAGAGTTTGCAAAAAGCAAGCGAGGTTTAAACGTTTTTCTATGTTTTTTTGTTTTTTATTTACCTGTTGCATAAATAGATTTATAATTTTATTTTGAAATTTTTGTTTTCAGCTTGAGAAGTCTTTTTATTTGCAGCAATTGACAATAGATAAAATGCAACGTTTACACTCTACGTGTGAAGAAAGAATTGAAACTTCAAACAATCAAGTCAGGTTTTTTTTTTGGTATTGCTGTATATTGCAATACTCGTAACCCCTTTTGATTTTTGGTTTTAAAACATTGACGAATTTCGATACCAAAATATATAATAGTTTTTTTTTATACTCAGCTTTTTGAGTATCAAAAAAAAAACTAAAACTTGAAATCAAACAAACAAACAAAAAACGTTTCTTTTAGACGCCTTTTTAACGAAAATGTATCTAAAATATACCTTTTAGACGTCATGTATTTTTAGACGTCATGTATTTTTAGACGTCATGTATTTTTTTGGGTAAATTCTTAAGATTCTTAAGATTTGGGTAAATTTAAAAAGAAAACAAAAAATCTTAATAAAACATTAAATCTTAATTCAAAAAGAAATAAAACATTAAATCTTTTAAAAGATAAGTTTTGCACAAATTTTTTTCTCAAACATTTCTTTACGATTTCGAAATTTGGTATACTTTTACATGCCACGATTTTTTTATTTACAGAGTCCCGAAGCAAGGTGCCTTTATACATTATTATTATTATTACCTGATGATAGGATAAGTTTATTGCAACAAAGCTTATAATGTTTTCATCATGAATAGATTCCTCATAAAAAATAGGTTCTGATTATTCATAAAAACTTCGATCATAAAAAAACACCCGAAATCTGTAAGTTTATTCTAGATTCTTAAAGGGTATTCGATTTCAATAAATCTATAAAAACAAATCCAAGTTTTATAAACTATGTGGAGAGCTTATTTACGAACATTGCTTATGAGTCATGCAATGAACAAAGCATCCGAATCAAATGCATTGAAAAAATTAATTTTTTTGCAAATTAAAGATTTATTTTATTACGTTACAATTCTTTCAGCAGAATCTTTTTTCTAAGAATTTTTATTTACAGTAACCCGAGGTTGACTTTATCATCGAAAAAATTCGATCTTCCGCATCTCAGATCTTTTAAAGTCAGTTTTTTGCATCTCATTAAAAATTAGTTTTTAAAACCAACTAATAGTAATAACAATTTGAATAGATTTGCAACCATAGAGTCGAACTTAGATTCTAAGTTCGACTCTATGGTTGCAAATCTATTCTTAAAAAGAATAGATTTGCAATTTAATTCTAAACTTAGAATTAAAGTCAGACAATGTATCTTCTAAGTCTTAGAAGATACATTGTCTGACTTTAATAGGCGCAGTTTTGGATGTATTTAATAGGCACAGTTTTGGATGTATTTAATAGGCGCAGTTTTAGATGTATTTAATAAGCGCAGTTTTGGATGTATAAGACGAGAAAATTTTAATTTTCTTGTTAATACTTTTCTTAAATTCCCGGCAAATTTCCGCCTGGTGGCATCTCTTTGATTTTATTAAAAAACAATCTGTTGTTCATTTACGCGGTGTGCCAAAATGACAAATGAAACAAATATTTTTTAGATGACTTTAACAGAAAAGTATCTATAATATTATAATAGAAAAAAAGTTATATTTTTTAATGTTTTAGTATCAACAAACAATAGTTTTCTAGTCTTTGTTTGACTGACAACCTTTTACAAACTCATTCCAAACTTTTGAAACTGCCTAAGTAGTTAGAAAACATAAACGCTTTGTTATTGCTTGTTAGTTTTAGTTAAAATTGTATAAAAGAAATTATTACACAAAAATAAATATTTTAGACAGACATCACGAAATGTAATACCATCAATCAATTGATTTAAAATTTTGTGCATTCGATAAAAAAGACTTGTATTTTCGCGAATCTAAATCTAGTTAACAAAATTTAACGTTACGTAGGATTTGGGAAGAAGTTAAAATGCTAAAAATGCTTTGTTAATAATAATAAAAAAAAAAAACTCTTAATCGCCTCGTTTAGAATTACTTCACCTAAAACTTTTTTTAACTATTTAGAAATGAGAAATTTTAACGTGGGTTGTTGTAGTTTGAATAAGATTTACCAACTTTACAAACAAAAGTTAACAACTTTAAAAAATAAAAATTAAAAATTGGCCAAAATAGAAAAACTTTTAAAAATTCTATTAATCGTTATTGATCTCTAATTGCTAAGTTTCGGTTTGATTTTAAAAATAATAATTTTTAAATGTTTTTAAAAGTTAACACGATCTAAAAGTAATCAAGAATGCTTTAGAAACAATTCGCAAAAAAATTTTATTTGTGAAGAAAATTCTTTGAAACATAAACACTTCTCTTTTCTCAAAACAACAAAAATTTTTATTTGGTTTTTGATAAAAGTCTCCATCTATGATAGAAACTTATGTTTTGAAGTTTTTAAGCAATGACTTTGTTATATGTTTAAAAGTTTAAAGATTTCCAGAGGTATTTTTCTGCAAAACTAGAGAGCCTATATACTCAGAGAGCGGACATACGTGTGATCGTTTTTGATTGGTTGTTCAATTTTTATGATTTTAGACGCCATCTTTTTGCCAAAAATACTAACTGCGATTAAAGTCTACTACTAAATTTGTATTAAATATTTGTAAAAGTATGCCTGGTTGTGCTGCAGTAGGCTGCCATAACAGGCCTGAGAAAGGATTTATTATGAAATGCTTCCCAAGAAATGAAAAACAACGGGCGATTTGGACTTCTAAAGTTAAACGACTTAACTGGATACCTACAAACACAAGCTTTTTATGTGAAGTAAGCATAAGAAAATACAGTTTTATGTAATTAATCCTAGAAATGAGTAATTTTAGAATCCATACAAATACATTATATTCGTTCAATTTTTTATTAAGGTACACTTTGATGCTGATCAATGGGAAAAAACCAGAGAAGATGGATCAAGAAAACTCAAACATAATGCAATTCCTACTGTCTTTAAACATGTTAGAGCAAAACATAAGCGAAAAAATCCACTCGAGCGTTTTCCAATACCAAAAAAAAAGAAAATAAGTTTTATAGAAAGAGGAGAAGTTGTGGAAAATGTTTTAATTGAAGTAAATAACAATGAAGTATCTGAATCAGTTTGCACAACTGAGGTTGATAAAAGTTTACTTATACAAGATTTAAATGCGAAATTGGAGAGATTAGAAAAAAAAGTCATTAATCAAAAAAAAAAAATTAACATTTTAAAATCGAAAGCAAGAATAAATACTATTCAAAAATATAATCATATAAAGAGAGATAAATTTAGAGTTTTCAAAACAATATTTAAAGAAGATCAAATTTTATCCTTAAGTAGAAAAAATATGAAATTCATTAAATGGTCAAATGATACTATAAATGAAGCGTTAGAACTCAAATTTACATGTGGTCAAAGTGGTTATGAAAATTTACTTCGTTTAAACTTACCATACCCATCATTATGTACCCTATGACGAAGATTAGAAAATCTAAAATTTCAAAGTGGCATTCTAACAGAAGTCTTTGAGTTTATGAAAACTAAGGTGAATGCCATGAAAATCCATGAAAAAGAATGTGTTTTAATTCTTGATGAAATGTCAATAACTGAAAGTGTTGACTATGACACATCTACAAGCTCTTACTATGGAGTTGTTACATTACCTGAACATTATGGCCAAGCTAACCATGCTTTAGTTTTTATGCTTGGAGGAATATCTACAAGATGGAAACAAACTGTTGCATATTATTATACTGGAAGTTCTGTTAATGGAGGTGTTTTAAAAAACATTTCTTATCTATAATAAAGTATACCGAAGAAATAGGATTAAAAGTTAATAGTGTTACTTCTGATATGGGTGCCATTAACCAGGCAATGTGGAAATCTTTTAATATTAGCTGTACTAAAAGTGGCAGTATTTCTAGTTCAATTAAACACCCATGTGACCCTACTCGTACAATTGATTTTTTAGCAGACGTTCCACATTTATTAAAGAATATAAGAACATCTTTTTTATGTAACAAACATTTTATAATAACAACTAAGATTCAAGAAAAATATAAACTTCAATCGCCAATTATAGATTCAAAACACCTTAACAAGCTTGTAGACTTTCAAGAAGGTATGGATTTGAAGTTTGCTTACAAGCTTACATCTGAACATCTTGATGAAAAACATTTCAACAAAATGAAAGTATCAAGAGCAACATCTGTAATGAATCATGATGTAAGTTGTGGATTAAAATTTATTGCAAGTGAAATAAAAGATGATTCTATTCTCACAACTGCTTGGTTTATAGGAATTGTTGATAAATGGTTTACATTAATGACTTCACGAAACCCAGGTATGGCTCTTAGCATGAAAAATGACAAAGTTTACAATGAAACAATAACTTTTTTAAATGAAGTCATAGAGATATTCAATGGTTTAAAAATATTAGGCCAAACTGGAAAAATAATGTGGAAACCTATTCAATCTGGTGTTATATTATCAACAACATCAGTTATTAACTTGCAAAATAAGTTTCTTCTAGAAAAAAAGTTTGATTTTCTAATGACATCACGATTTACGCAGGATTGCCTGGAGAATCTTTTTTCCCTGGTACGTGCAAAACAAGTAATTCCTACTGCTCTTCAATTTAAAAATAACTTGAAACTTATTTTTGTTGCCCAATTCTTAAAAAAATCATCAAAAGGCAGTTATGATATAGATGACCGTCAATTCTTATCTGGTTTTCTTGATATAGTTAATAGTAAGGAGCATAAGCGACAGCAAAGAGAGTGCATTTTGTTACCTAAAGATTGGGATAAAACCTCTAACTTAATCTTAAGTACTGCTGAGCAAAACTGTTTGTTTCATATTGCAGGTTATATAATTTCTAGAGTTAAAAAATTTGAAAAAGTTTGCACAATTTGTTTTGAATCTCTAGTTTCTAAAAATAGAGTTAATGCTGATTACACAAAGTTTGTTACAGACAAAGAGCACAAAGTGGGTAGTTTATTTTTTGCTAATGAAACAAAATTTGCATTCTTTTTACAAATGGAGTTAATATTCAGATCATTTGAGCCATACCTTAATTCCCAAAAGAATTGTAATACTATGCTTTTAGAGAAAATCAATTCTGATGAACAAATTAAGTCTAACTTTGTATCCTAGTT